GTGTCGGATCACCTCCGTGTCTGCAACTCGGTCACTCCAGCCGATGTGCATAATACGGCGCAGCTGCTGCTAATGGAAGCGCTCTAGATATCGGACATCCTTCCGATAAAGCGTCCAGGTTGCGCTGCCGTATAGAAGAAAGGACGGCACCATAGACTTATATACCAGCAGCTTCGTCCCAACAATAAGCAGGTGGTTGTGCCACAGAGGGCATTCCAGCTTGCCAATAGCAACAGCCGCCTTCGATACGCGGCTGCGCAGCCCGCAAATCATCTGCTGGTCGGTCGTTATTACGCTACCAAGATATTTACGTGATGAACACCACCGTGATCATTTTACACTGTCGTGGGAATGAACACTGCCGGTGAGTTCCGAAAGGACGGAAAGTCTATATACAGTGCTTTTATTGACCTTGATATCTTTATACCAGCATGTGGTTGTTAACAACAACAACAACAACAACAACAACAACAACAACAACAACAACAACAACAACAACAACAACAACAACAACAACAGTACCTTTAGCATTTCAACTGATGCTGTCCTGCCGTATACTCTTAATGGCTTATGGGATGAAGAGTAACAGATGGTAAGGAATGGGGGACTAACGTAGAACCTTAATGCCCTAGCTAAACAGTCACGCCAAGGCCCATACATCTTGTTTGGCAATATGCGGTCACACACTGAAAATTGTTGGGAGGTTAGCCTCGGTGATACCACTTCATGCCGCTATCACTGACTAGCCTCCTAATCAGACAGGGTTTAGCTAGAAGGTGCAACAAAGGCACAACATAATACTCGCCGCCAGTGCAGACTATGAGTCTGATATTTATCAAGCCTAGCACAAGACAGGTTGAGTGAACTCCAACCAGCAAGCTGAAATGAACCAACAGCGACCAGTTTCGTAGTCAGTGACCTAATTTCCCGCCACCCAGTGCAAATTTGCTCACCTCAAGCTTCGCACCAGTCTACACATTGCATGTAAAACAATATACCTCCATGACAAACGGTGACCTGCCATGCGTAACACGTGCCCGAGACAACACAGCTTATACATCATTAGATGTGTCCTAAGGAACCAACATGATTTTCGCCGTCTAGTACTTGTGGGCCCACGCACATCGTCATTGCTGACGCCCTGCTGACACCCGATGCCAACAATGATCCACAGGCATCTATTGACAAGGATTTAAACGTGCATGATATCTTCAGATCGAGTCACTGTCATTTAGTAGAACGTCCCGCATTGAGGTATTGTACACAGGACATTGCAGAGCTAGGAAAACCACCACCTGCTGTCGCAGATGGCGAGTTTACGTAGGCGGTTAAAATTGTCTGGTTTCTGTTGCACTCGTCATGAGTCTTGGACCACGACACGTAATCTCGATTGCGGCCGTAGTAGACTTTGAAGCCAAGCCCGACAGAGATGGTGTGTCGCAATCCAAGACTCAAAGCGGATACTCCAAAAACCTGACAATCAACTTCTGACCGCTGCCTCAAGCACTGCTTCCAGAGCTCATTTGTTTAGTGAGCATGGCAATAGGCGCAAAACATTATGTGGCTAGTTCAACTTCCCGGTGATACAAAAAAGGACGAAACGTGTCGTGGAGTGTAGTAATGGTAGACCGCAACAATTAATCTCTCCAATGAGATCCTAACTTCAGCAATACTTTAAATAACTTCAGCACTCATGTGCCCATCGCCGCCAAGTAGGTCATGAACTACCAATTCCGCGCCTTAAATTTTCATGGGATCATCAAGCTGCGGGAGGTCCTTCAACAATATTGTACACTTCAAAGTTGCGTTGCGCATGTCAAACAACGCGGTCACTGTACTGAGATTATTCAGGGTTAATACGGCCACTCCAGTATCGTTAAACAGCAAGACAATATTGCCCGCAAAATCAAGGTCAGCTAGTTTCTCGCTAGATAGCGCCTGCTTCGTGAGATCTCGCAGGAAGACCTTTCAATAGGTAGTTCACAATGAAATTGAAAGGCAGTGGTGGAAACTAGCTGGTTTTGTGTCAGCTGTACGTCGTAACGGCACTTCACTGCTGCGCGACCACCACAAGTCGTGCGTGGGCTGAGTAAACCACGAGGGCGCCTGCCCCTAAACGGATTCAAACCGGTGACCTTATGATTGTAAGCCAGGCGTGCAGACCACTCAGTGGAAACGACAACCATGATAAGCACCGCTGTTCGTAGGAAAGCCATAAACCCTCACACACGTAGCAATGTTCGAGTACAGAGCGCGAAGTATGTTCATACTGGATGGGAACACCCTTTAGTAAGAGTATACTCAAGAGGATGGAGCAATCGAACGACCTGAATACATGCTTTAGATGTTTAAACACATCGAATTTCTGATTGCGGTACGTACGACGCTTTGATAACAGTTGTCATAAAGTGACTACATTGTCTGTACTTCATCTTCCTGAATGGAGACCGACGTACCCTTCCCTTATCGGGGATTCCAGTTCCGCAATAAGACGATGGACGAGAAGACAGGCTAGTAGCCTTGTCACTAAGAGTGTCACGTCGATAGTCCGGGATTTAGCGTTGTCGGTCTGAGTGTAATTCTCTCGTGTTGCATATGTGTAGGTATTTAACACTTGCCCAGTAAATATTTGGCAGTATGACATAAAACAAATGTAACAATAACGAAAAAGGAGGAAAGTAAGTCAGAGGAAGGGATGCAAAGTCCCATGTACTGTGTGGGCAGAAAGCTTTCCGGTTGCCCAGGCCGAGGAACAAGGTTGACTTAAGGGACCCAACGCCGAGCCTTTGGTCTTAAAGACCTCACACACACCAGGCAGCGGGGCGATTAACGAAGACCGTTAACAGCCAGGTGGCTCATCCACCTTCTTTCAGTTCGGAAGCAGTCCACAAAGAAGCCGGTGGCCAGCACGGTTGTTCATCCGCTCTCCGTTATATACTCACCGCCAGTTACAGAAGTGATTGTTCAGTGACCTTATAGTCGGTCACATTGGCTTTGACACTGTGCCGTTTGAGCTCTTGTGGTATTTACTGAAGAGCCAGGTGACTAGCCCAGATCTCCCCACGCTCTGCGACGCTTCCACTGATTGTCCGCGACTGCTTATTCATCATGCCTACACAGCAGACAATACTTATTCGCAGTCATCGCCACAAGGAAGGCATTCCCAGATCCACAACCTGGTGATGCGCCCAATAGCGTACAGCTGCCTCGATTGCTTCATACCAGTTGTCTGCGATGAGCTGCGACTTTCATAGGCTTTCGAACAGGTAAAGATATGCTTTACAGAGGATATCACCAACATCCTTAAATAGTGAGAGGGAAAAGGAATCCAAGTCAGCAGCTCAAAAACGAACGTGGGTTATGCTCACGATTTTTAGCCTTTAGACTAGCCGCCTATGATTCAGCTTGCTTCACCGGAGTGAGAAGTGACTCAGGCAATATGAATTGTTCTCGAAACGCTTCAGCCCAACGAGCCAGACTGTGTTCCTTATTGTGAATCTAGGCAACCGGGCTGTCTGTGATTGTCTCCCTGACGTCTGCCTTCATGGGACCAGTAAATAAATAAGCGTTTATACTCGGTACGGTGAGACAAGCCCATCAAGATATGATACGTGAATCACAATCCTGTACAAACTTACAGACATCAGAGCAATCTTTGCATAAAAGAAGGATACATCGCATAAAAGCAAGTAAATTTTCTACATATTAAGTTGGTGGGTAACCTCAGTAAGACAAAACATAAGATAGGAATGAGATAACAAGAAAGAACAGCTACAACAAATTCAGGACAAACAGGGAATTATCGTAGGAAAGATAAAATGATGTAATACAGTCATCCGTGAAACCGCCTCATTGAGACCCACTTCGAGTGGTTTCACTCACATCTCATGTGCTCGCATGGTGTAAAGTAGGTTGGCCATCATCAATTTTACTACATGTTCGGGATTTGTTTTCGTGATCTGGTCACTAAAGCTAGTCAGCACGTTCGCCAAACTTTGTTTTTGATGAACATGATAACCTAATTCACCTGATTTGGTGGCATATGCTCGCAAAGTTTGTAATCAACTGTTCAGCGTGTACTGTTCTCCTTGAGTTTTGTAGGTCTAGCACTTTTTAACATTCACCAGTGGGTCTTTGGCATCCGCCTTGCGCGGCAAACCATTTTGCTTACAAACTTCAAACCCTCTCCTCATGAATGGTGCAGATCAGTTTAAGGCGCTTGTGATATTTGAGTACTTCTCGCGCCTCCTCCATTTATTGATCCCCACTAGTCCAGCAACCTTACTTGTTAGCATGCAGGATTCGTTTCCGCTGGTATCAGCTTACCACGTTGTGTTAGGAGCCGCCAAGAGTTTTCATCTGGATTTCATTCAGTTTACTGTGCTCCCAGATATCCATCACTTAGCGTGATGACGACTTGTCGTGCTGCAAGAAGACGCCGCAGCATTGTGCATGGTAACCAAAACTCTATTAAACTGAGGCCCGAAATCTTTGGAGCAGTATGGTTATAGTGCACTTGAGTTGTATTATATTTAATCAACGTGGGCTTAACTTTATCATTCTTATCTCTAATGCACTCTAGAATAAATGCAAATCTATAAATTTACTTTTGTCGCTACTCCTTGTCGGTTCCCAATTCCTCTCTTGCTTTCTTCTATGTCCAAAAATGTAAGGCCGCCAACCTACCAACTGTCTTAAGAATCCAAAGGGTATCTCGGGTCGTCTAAGTGTCCTGATTTTACAAACTAAGGTGTGCAATTACCATGGCAACGTCCAACCTTTATGATGGATTCAGATGTTCACTTCGTTCCATTCGTTCTCTGCTGGAGTCAACAGTTCATCTAATTTGGGTTTGGTTAAATAAGAGCGCATTAATCTCCTTAGACCTGTAGGCTAAAGCTACATTTTTGCTGTCGACCTCACAGTTGCTTCACACAAGTTTGAAATCACTTATACAAGTATACATGATTTACTTGAATGTCAAAACTTGTCCAGCTTACTGTCTGACAACTTCCGAAGCGACCGCGAAGTTCTTCGCTTTCCTATCTGCGGCATCCTGTTGTTCTTTCAAAGCAGCTGACGACCGTGCGTACATGAATGGAAATCGATTTACTCACCCGCTTCCATTTCTTTCTTTATTTGCTCAACATAAACTCTTTCTTTTTCCGCATTTCGCGCTTTACACAATTCCTTAAATTCCAATTGCACATCGCGTTCTTTTAAAGTCTCTGCCAAAGTCAATGCGGACTACGTTAAGCATGACCGTTTGTGACTGTTGACTAACGTGGAACCTTTTCACTCTATCCGTCTGATAGTAGAGTTTTAATTTGGCCTCTTCTATCGCTGCCTTTCTCTGTTCTGCTTGAAACTTTGCCTCTTCAATGTCTATAGCTACTTTGGCCTTCTCCTCATCCGCTAACCGTTTGGCTCTCTCGTCCAATTTTTTCTGTCGTGCACCCTTGAAATAAATAAATCTCTTACTTAGATTAGTGCGCAATACCAAGAATGTGTTTGTCCAATTTTTCACCATTTCTTGCGACTGTTGTTTGAGCTTCTCATTTGCTAAATGTTGATCTTCTAATTTTTTTTGCTCTATTGCTTCACGGTTTAGTTGATCGTTTAGTCTTTGCCACTCCTGCTGGCTGATGACTTTTACGCTCCGAAGATAGTCACAGGGGTGTTGCCCCTTGTTTTCAAGAGTAGGTGACATGGCTTGTATTAAAGTGGCTGAAATATGGGAAGGTAAGTGAAATGTTTAATTCTTTGGATAACTAGCGAGTTTCACAGTACTAGGAAATAAGCGTGATCTGAAGAACGAGAAAATCGAAAGGCCCTCACGTGCAGCATAAGTAGTATATAACAATCTGGTCTTAGTAGCATATGGTCCCATAGCATGGCGAACACAAGCTCGTCGTATCGCGATTGACAGAACTCTTCCTTACGAACTGAATGGAGTTGGCAGTGTGGTCCTGCAAGCAAAAGCCCAATATGGCAGTCGTTTTCGCCCCACAGCCTCACATTTGGGTTCCTTCGATTGAAAAGGGTGAATATAGCGTGGTTGTTATAAACAGCTCTATGCCTGTCTCTCATCCGTACATCTCCTAGCAACCGTCTTAGTTGCAGCTTTCATGATACGTGCCACCTAGTTTTTCTCAGAACACAAATTTGCGCAGTCCACTTTACACTTGAACACATGGCATCACCCGATTTTGAACCCACTGTTTTATTTAATAATTGCCTACTTATGAGTAGTAACTGCAACCGGCAGTAGACGTTCATCACAACTGGACAGTCAGAAAACAATTCATGATAATTTCAGTCGCCAATTAACTTTGGCATGATAAGCAGTTTTGTCTGTTCTGGTTACAAGGTAGTTGAATGGGATACTTCGAAATTACACCGTCGAGACTCAATCAGACAGACGCCAATGAGGCATATCCCTGGCGTATGATTGTTCCTCAGGGACCAAAGGGCATTTGCACTACTGACGGTTCCAGGCGTGCTATGGCTGTCTGGCTGAGTCTAAATGTGATGAATCTCCACTTACACCATCCAACTCCTCCTGCTACTCTGTTCAAAAAAATCACACAATGATATCACTGCAGTGAACACACAAAGGAACTTACTTCATTTTCGTCCCCTACCTCAAATTTGCCATGGTATCCAGGCTGTTGGTGCCATACTGATGCGTTTACATGGTGATCATTGCAATTGTTCTATTGTCTGTCACTCCACTGAGTAACTTAGCAGTTAGCATGCAGTTAGTCTTTTGGCCCATGTGGCTGGATATTCGATGTCTGGCTTAATTATTCTGGTCAACATGACGTATGGCGCGATGTCTGCACCCATGAACATAGCATATCGTCGTTGTCCTCCTGATTCTCTAGTCGGTACATCCGATTGCTATATGGATAGACGGAATGATGTCGTAAATATGGGAATGCGGCGGACGCATGTGGCGATTTCGTGGATGTTTCCGGAGCCTACAACATTTCAGAACGGTTACGTGATGTGTCCCTTCATCATAATCTGGCAGCGTAAGGTAGCCTCAATGCATGGGTCTCTAGGCTGCACTGTTACCTTACGGCAACCAGCGAACGGGCTGCATGACTATCATTTAGCGAGTCATCCAGGCCCATATGAACGTTCGGAATTACGGCTGAGTGAGAACGGTTGCAAAGAAGTAGTTGGATTTTTCCAGCCCCCCCATAAACCACTTTCATCCCGCATCCCGAATGGTTGGTGTTGTAGAACCCAGTCCTACAGGAATAAGCGTTTATTCAGCAAACTCAAATCGGAAAAATTTACACCGCGTTTGGCAAGCCAAATCCCTCGATGTAATTTGCAAGTTCAAGTCCATACACAACGAGTCTCCAAAGTCGATGAGGTTTCTCCTTTGCTTGAGTTAAACAAACGGTGAATCACTCACAAGAATATCGGCTAATCTGAGTCCAGTAATCTAATCCATTACGTTCGACTCCCATTGGCTGTCTGGCTCGCTCGGTTGATCCATCCGCTCACACTGTGCTAACAGTTCCATCACAGTTGGGAAGTCTCACTCCTGTTCTTTTAGCTGCTCTATGCTTCCGTGTGTGCAGCACTTACAAAGCATTCAGGCTGCTAATTGCCAACCATTAGCAGTAAAAGCAATGAATTAATGCGACTTATTTCTTCATTTTCATGACATATTTCAATTAAAACATGACCGAACTTTTACGGAGAACTGACAAGTTAAGTACAAACCCGTCGGAATCCGTAGAGGTTTCCTAATTCCGCAAAACGGTTTTGACTAAGCGTCAATTGACCGTATTGGAACGTTGTTGTACTCTACTTGGTCAAAATCCCCTGAGTTCTGAGTTTTACATGCTACTAGTTCTAGAAAGCAGAAAATATAATATACAAAGGCTTCCGTTTTAAGAAGAGTATGCGGAACATATATCTAACCCTGTACAAGGTTTTGTATAGGGTCAGACAAAGTTGTTGACCATTTGCTTCATTCTGGCTAATGGCCACCTTAATCTCCATGGAGGAAGAAGGACATCCAATTAGTCGGATAGTAAAAGTTAGGTTAGATGTGGCTCTTCCGGCTTGGATAGGTGCAATAAACACCGAAAAATGAAAAATGATTTATCACGGGATAATAGCAAGTGCTTGACACGTCCCGTAGGATGGTTGGGATGGATATGATGTGAGCAACATATATTTTGGTCATCTACCGAACGTCTGCCGAGATGAATACTTTGATAAATTACATCAGCGCAAAGGTAAAAAGATACCGTATTGCATCAAGTCTATAGTTAATCATTCTCGAGTGAAACTGTACCCAAGCGCAGCTTATATTAAGGACAGAAGAAGGATGACACGAAGAAGATGACCTAGATGGAGTGGGAAACTTTTCAAGTTAGCAGAGAAATAGTGCGCTTAGGTCAACTAATGTCCATAAGTTCAGCTAAGTTAAAGTCAGCGGATGAAGTACGGGAATTATAGCTCTACTCACTTTAACGAAGTAATAAAACCACAGTGAGACAGTGAGGAGTTATCGTTGGTGTGTGCTGAAAAAGCAGTATCCTATATTAACTGCAAGCTAAGCCAGAGCCGGGCAGATCGTCTTTTGTCCTTGGTAAGTGAGAATTAACAGGTATGTGGAAATATCAGGTGGTCCGTCGTATCTTACTGCTTATTATCTTCTCGGTCGCACGTCCTGGATGATAGCATATCAGGATCAATTCATTCCTGCCGAGAATGCTACCTGTGTCCATTTCCATTTGGATGTCACATACTTTTGCCCCTGTACGTCCGTCAAAACTGATGACCTGACTGAATCTCAGTGTGTGTGTGTGTGTGTGTGTGTGTGTGTGTGTGTGTGTGTGTGTGTGCCTGAAAACGACATTGCAATCTGCAATGCTTGCCGGCGTCACAAGAATCGCAATGTAATAGGATCCATCTGTCAAGTTGAAACGTAACGAGACTCGAATAGATGTCAGCGCTACCTGTAATTTGGGTGAGCCCCAGTTAGACATCGAGCCATCGCGTATGAAATTGTGATTAGTCTGTCAGGCTGAAATGTGTCGCTTACAAGTGCTTCTAATTAGCTTCCACTTAGTCACTCAACAAGGTGACGAGCAAAGCCCGCTGAGAGTAGAGTTACCAGGTGACACGCAAAAAATCCCCGGTTTGACTTGCAGTTCTATATTGTTGTGAAGGGCAATGGCGCTTAGAACACAGCATAACAAAGTACGGTCACTTACATTTATTCACACCTATGTATGGACTACCACAAACTGAATGGAGCAACAGCAATCCTTATAGAAATAACACTATGAACGTGTATGTGTTCGAATTAACTGTTAGGCTAACAACCATATTGCTCTCGGTTTGGAAAACCGCACATACAAATAAAAGCAACCAGAACGAATGTCCGTGGTTAGTAAACTTTTGGGTGTGGACCTAAATGGCAGGTTTACATTAAGCCAGACGTGTGGGCATCAACAATAGATGGAGACAGATAAGAAAGGAATAGGGAAGATGTTAGGGAGCTGGCTACTTAAACCTCAGTTCATGAATTATGTTAGTTGCCTATTTCTTTGTTTGCGCACTTACCTGTTTCTCTGCTACATTTTGGACACGCCGTTTTCCTCAGCCTCATTCGCAATCGCTCACAGCTAATTTCAGCCGTCTCATTCTGTGGACATTCTGATTGGTTTCTTTTGTTTAGCGTTCCTTAGCTTTTTCACGTGGATGTATTATTCAGTCGACACATATTTATTATACCTGTATTAATTTTCCTGGTGTGTATCTTTCTCACTATCAACTGTTCTGGCATTTGTTGAAACGCATCACTTCTCCACCCTGATTGGACGCTACTCGTCGTTTTTAATTGTCGCTCACCAGAAGGTTACCCCCAGGGATTAACTCCGCAGACACTAATTTCTTCGCCGCACTTCATTGGCTCGTAATTTTCGCGATTCACATTTGCTTGTTCCATTTTGTGTTTTCTCCAAACCTGTTGGATCTCATGTGTTTAGTAGCTTGGATTCGCCCTTGTTTGTAAAGCTATATAACTGGTGCCGTGCTCTCATACAATAAGCATCTCTGTCTACCGAACCTTGGCCTTCTGTATTCCGTTGGTGGGCTGGGCGCGTAACTGAGCAGTCAGATAGTCGCAGTCTCAAGGGGCAGCTAACAGCAGTACCACAGTCATCAGTGGCATAGAGGAAAAAAAAGAAGCAATTACAACGGAAGCAAATGTCATCAATATGGATTAGCAAGTGGAATGATGCACAAAAATTAAGTACCAGAAAACAGTGAGACTTATCGTTAGAGTGCATTGTAGATGCCGCTTGCTATAGGTTAAATTAGAATGATGATGATGTCGATTAATTATATATATATATATATATATATATATATATATATATATATATATATATATATATATATATATATATATATATGGTTGGCGACATCCGGTTTCGGATTTGCCTGTCACTGTGGCAAGCCACAGGACGCCTGCGCCTACAGAGGGACCATGGATGGTTTGCGTTGCACCACCCATAGATCCATCCACATACCCCATATCCAGTGTAAACCCGAAGGAATAACACCAGTAGGCATGTGGATAGGAGCCACGTTTCATCAACGGAGCCGGCTCACACTCCTTCACAGGCAAACACAAGCACACTGTATTTAAGAAATCAAGCGCACACATGGCGGTGGCTGGACCGTAG